CTGGGCGACCATGCTTTCCAGTCAGCTGTGTCAGCAGATAAGGCAGACCGGCTTGAATGTTGCAAGTAGGTAGGCAGAGCGATCCAGTCATAAACAGGACGTTGTGTTGGTGACTTTGTGAAGTTAAGATGCCGTACACATTTTCCGCTGAGGAATACGCCGATATGGTGTTTTGGGTGTATGTGATGGAAATGCGAGAGCCACTGCTGCCGAATATGACCGGCGTTATCCTAATTGCAGGATTCCGAATCCTAAATCCATTAGCAGTACATTCAACACATTAAGACAAACTGGTTCTCTCCCCCGCATTCATATACAATACAAACAATATCCTCAACATGAATTGTATGAAGAAGAAAACATTCTTGATGCTGTAGAGCGCAGTCTGCGTGCCAGTATAAGATGTCTAGCTCAGTGGTTCGGTGTTTTTCAGGCCATGGCATGGAGGACTCTTCATGAGAATGGGCTGCAACTGGTTAAATGGGAATCGGCAGTTGTACTGCTTGATAATGTTCTGCGATGAGGCACAGTTTACACGGGATGGGGTCAACAACAGTCACAACTTACATGTTTGGGCAGACAATAATCCCCGTGCCATGGCAGAATCGAATTTTCAACACCGATTCAGTGTCAATGTCTGGTGTGGTGTTCTGTATGGTCAGCTAATCAGTCCATTCATTTTTCCTGGCCGCTTAACTGGTGAGATTTACCTCCACTTCTTAGAAGAAGAATTACCACAGTTACTTGAAGATGTTCCTCTGGCAACAAGACACCAGATGTACTTTCAGCATGATGGGGCGCCTGCTCACTTCTCCCGCACAGTAGCAGCTCACTTGGTTTGGCAATTCCCACAGCGGTGGATTGGTCGCGGAAGCCATAACGCCTGATTCCCAGGTTGCCAGATGTAACGCCGTTAGATTATTGCATTTGGGGCTGGATGAAGGACATTGTGTACCAGGTAAAGGTACAAACACGTGAAGCATTGCTTGGATGTATTCTGGACGCGGTGATGACAATAAGGAACAAACGTGTGGAAATGCGAAATGCTACGAGCGTGGTTCATACGCGTGTGATGTGTTGTTTTGACATGCAGGGAGACATTTTTGAAAATCTTATGTAAATCCAGTTGTCTTCTAAAGCACTACAGTTTAAAGGAAACAGACTGATAGAAGGGTGTGATATGCAACCATTGGTATGTTTACAGAATGGGATGCTGAAAATAATGTAATTTTGTAACATAAAATTGATGAAAAATGTTGCACAATGAAAAATTATGAAATTGAAAAAAAAAATGGTTTTAGAATGCTTCTTTCCTAAAACATTAACAATTTAAAAAATGTTTGTATTGTATTTCTAATTTGTTTTGACTGAAATTCGAAGAAAAAAAGATTTTTCTCCAGTTTTCAAATTACTGTATCTCTTTAATTATGAGTTGGATACCATTAGTATATTAATTTTTTTTCCAAATTACCTCAGGAATGCCCTCCCTAAGTGGGGGTAAAACTTCGTGGATCACCCTGTATATGTACCTGGCCAAGCAGAAAAGGCAGTAATGCATATGGTGATTGCATATAGCACAGTGTGCATCTTTATATACATCTTGTCTGTACAAATTACACAGTGGACAGTATTAAATTTTACTGGTCTATGAATTTTCTACTTCAGTCATGTTTCTCTCCTCAAAATATATACCACATCCACTTTTTGAAACTGGGCTTTTGCAGCATATCAAAAGGATCAGTACACTGATGTCAGAATGACTCTGATCTTGCTGTGGAATCTATCACAGATGCAGTGAAGTATCTGTCAGTAAAACTTCAAATTTCCCATGCCTCTGCTACATACTATGCACGACATAATTCCAGCTGTGTATCACTAAGAATTTCTGGAAGAAATTTAATTCTGCCTGTTGATGAAGTTTTTTGAACCAGTTACTTAATCCCTTGTGTGGCACAAGCAGATTAGTTTGGCTCAGCATACTTGCTTTAAAACTGCCAGAGTTGGATAGATCAGGCAAGCATTTCTGTTGTAGATATCTAGAGCAAGGAACAAGCATCCATATCAGTGGTCAACTGAAGGCAGTCTGCTGAAGTATTGTGGATTTTTGTGTGCAACAGAGTTTACCTACAGGCGATCTTGGTATTTCTAGCACATAGATCTACAGGTACGGTAGGGCTTGGCAGTCAAAGGGTTAAGATGCAACCAAAAGATGCTGGAATCAACTGCTATAATTCTCTCTCCAATGTGGGTCACAGGAAATTCAGAAGAATTCTTATAACTGTATCAATAGCCACATGCACAATAATGTGAGAAAGACAACACATCCATATGCTGAGACCTATGCAACACATTATACTCAGATGCAGAGATCAGTGTCTATACCATGAAAGGGATACTAACTAATCTGTGAACCGTCAACTTTTTTGTTGTTCTCTGTAGAACTGTGAAATGTGATCCTACATAGGATCAACAAAGGACCAAGTTAGTTGATGCTGGGACAACACAAATAAATGAAAACAGACGTCGCGCTGGCCAAGTCACAAGCGGTTGTAACGGCCGGAGAACAGTCGCTGCAAGGAGTAGCCGAAACAACAGGAAACCTGAGGTGGCAGAACGAGAGGTACCCGTAAAAGACGTTGAAGTAATGCTGGTCGGAGAACCAAAGCAGAAAAAGCATAGCGACCAAAACAAGCAACGAAATATGAAGAATTCGACACAGGATAACTTTGGACTGCAGAAGAAGTTGGCTGTAGCCCGCAGAGGGACGAGCCGCAAGGGAACGACCCGCCATGCAAAAATGGAACAGCAGAAGGTAAACGTTGTTGGGAGAAACCGCACCAGGGCCAAAATTCAGCGAGCAACCCAGAGAGTAGGGCCGCTCCAGAAGAATTTGTGGATGCACCATGAAGGAACAGTGGATCGACGCAGCAAGGGGCCGCTACACGGGAGGAAGAAGAGGACAACCACGGACAGCATCCGGAAGTGGAGCCCAGGAGATCAAGCTCTTCTGGGAAGCGAAGGAACACTAAGGACAACCTTATATGAGATATATGGTCTGGAAAACACTAAACAAATGCCCAAGACTTCCAGCAGGACGCAGAGAATCGTGGATTGGACTTTGTGGAGGGGACGACCCCCTCCAAAATGGAAAAAGAGACCTCAAGTAGAGGAGGAACCGGCCTCCCAAGAAAGAGTGAATGTGTGACAAATGAGTGTGACACAACTGGATCTTCTGGCAACTTACCAGGAAACCGCTCAAGACGAGCTGGTCTTAAGAGGGGAGCAGTTTAACAGAAGGAGAAGAGTCGCTGCAAGGAGTAGCCGAAATAACAGGAGATGCAGAAAGCCATCCTTTGAAGAAAAGGAACGGGGGTGCACCATTAGGCTATTTAGGATGAACAGCCTTTAGGAGGGAGCAGTGTGACCTGTTGTGCTATGGAGGACACCCCCTCCCTCCCCAGCGGTGACGTAACACGGGATGCCGCCGTTGCTACTCAGCAGTAAACAACTCCCGACAGCGTTGCTAGGCTGTCGGCAAACATGGCGTCAGACAACAGTGGTGCCTATTACGTAACTGTTTTCTGTGTTGTCCGTAACGGGGCTAAATAAGGAGCAGCGAAGACTATTCAAGTTAGTTACAAGTTAGCCAGGCAGTCAACCAGTCAGCTGTAGTCTAGCATTTGCAGTCTAGTATTTGTGATACTGCCGATGGCAGTAATTGTGAGATTGTAAACTGTGTGATTGTATGAGCAAGTGTGGAATAAAATTCGCTATATCCAATATGGCGTGAAGTTATTTGTCGTGTTATACACCCAACACATGACAATATAAAGTAACTAGGAAAACTATAAAGCACTTTAGCTGTAGCTGGAGGTTTATGTGCATGAGGAAACAAGACAGATGCATGAGGACTGACCTAGTGCCTGATATCCTCCTGTAACTGTTTGGTCCAGACACGGCAAGCAAGCTCACGCCTGACCCAATGTTCACAATCTGTAACACATTCCATGCATCTTTATACATTGGGCTGAAGGAGTACCATTTCTTCATACAAAAATCAAGCTACACACACAATATAGAACAAAAACTGTAGCCTGCCATGGGGGGAGAAGAAGAATAAAGAAAGAGTGCTGGTATCTCTCTCCTGTCCCACTCTATTCTACCATGATCGTACTACAGGTAATCAGAGGCAAACACTAACAGAAACGGTTCCAATGCAATTTTCTTGGGAAGTGCTCATAAGAATACAGAAATAAGGTACTTCATTTGGTCAACTGTATTCATCAAGTGTTTATCTCATTCTAACCAATACTCTGATAGCACAACCCAAATGTTACTCTGTTAATACCAAAGCCCATCACTGGACATAATCCTGCACCAGTTTCATCTATTTCCCAAACTCACAATCTGTTTCCCTAAAATATATCTTAATGTTATCACCTTCTTTGTACTGCGATTGGCCAATAGCCAAGAGATTTTCCCACTAAAATTATGCATTTTCATTATGGCTGCAGGTAAGTTCAGAGCCAGAAGCAGCTGAGGGTCAAACCCACGGCTATTTCAGGTGAGTGTTTGCAGAAGTATCCAACCCAGTCTTTCACTCTAAGGGAAAAACAGAGCCCGAGGTGTCTGTGAACAAAGTGTTGAAAACACCTGGTTCTAAGAGAAAAGTCATTAACAGAGGACTTACAAAATCTTATGCAGACAACCACAAGGTAAGAGATCCAATGTAAATGGAACGATAATATTAAGATGGATCTTTAAAAAAAAACAGGATGTGGAAATGTAGACTGGATTTAACCTTTAAATGCCGGACTTCTGAAATGTTGGTAAACTTGAGCTGGCTGGAATTTATTTAAATGCCGCTGCTGGGACGCGTTTAAATGCCCGTTGCTACTCTGCATTTAAATGTCCGTTATTGTTAGGGCGCTTTCAACAATTTTAAGCATTGTGTTTAAAAATGCTACATCTAACTAAATTTTTATGATAAATGGATGGAATTAAATTTGTTTGTATCAGCAAAGAACATAGTGTCACATATTATAATGGAAGATTTGAAAATTTTTATACAAAGAGTTATACTCTATTTTCAATTTTTTCTTTTAATTTTGATGCGTACTGCAAGAAAGGTTTCCCAGTTCTTCACAGAGTTGTTCTGCATTATAAATTCATTTCTGTTTGTAACACTTGACAAATTTTAGCAGTCCCTGCTGTCATAAAACAGATGGAAGCAATAAAATCATTTGGTCTTCTGCTAGCACTGCTTACACTCTTTGAATTTTCGAATCTTTTGACTAAAGGACAGAAGAATGAAAGAATGGCTATTCAAGAGAAAGCTAGATGGATCCCTTCTTCAGTGCTAAGACCTTCCGTTATAGCTGCAAGAGATTATGGCCCTTTCTAGGGTCATGAACGGACAGTTGCATCGTGGCTGAGATGCAGAGTGTGATCTGTTTTCTGTGCCTTCTTAGTGAAATCAAATACAGTAGTTTCATTTCAGCCTATATATACATCAAGCAGATAACAACAAAAAATGTATGTATATCGAATTTTACTATATATTTTTAACACATTAATCTGCAGAATCTGCAATAAAAGTACTGGCTCCTGAATGAGTTTGGGCATAACTCATACGTATATTCTTTTTTGCTGTTGTTAACTTAGGTATCATTTTAATTCCTCTATTATGGTTTTACTCAAGTCTGTCTGGTAATTAATACATTTAAAAATAAATATTTAGGACTGTACATATGCTTCTACTAGCAGCGTGTGCACGCGCTTCCACTAGCACAGTTTAAATGCCCGACTGGCCAAAATGGGTTACTTTGGCCATGATGACCATACTCATCACTTTGGCAGTTAAAGGTTAACTGTTTTAGGATACAGTATAAAGGTGAGCATTCATGTTTGATAAAAGATAGGAATTTTTTTCTAAGTTAGTATCAGTTGCTCAAGAAAACCCAGTATTAGAGTTAGTCTACAGATAGTTCTATGGTAACTTACCTTATAGTGAAGTCTGTAACTGAAATATATGACAGTGGTAATATGGACCTTTTAGGTTATGTCTGTAAGACAACTTAGAGCATCTGCAGTAGAATGTGGTACAATAAAACATGACAAGTACTGCAGGAAACATTCTTACCTGCCAGCATGGGAACAATTTGAAGGATAATGTTATAAGTTGACATTTGTTACACATACAAAAGGAATTCAATATCACTGACCAATTTGGTCTGTAAGTTGCATGAGAATGAAAATTTTCTGTAAATTTCCAAATGCCATGTTGACATTCATTTTATCTATTTTCTATTTGACCTTAACCCCTTAAAGGCAAGAATATATGATAATTCAAAATTATCATTACTCCCTTTACTCTCGAGGGAAAAACTGTCATAAACCCTTCTTTCCTTCACTGTCCTTCAGACTCTGTTTACTTTGTTATTTAACAGTGCTGTCAGAATTGGGACTATATAGCACTGGTCCTTCAGTTTGAAAACTGTACCAATATCTGAACACATTTCTTATATTCTTTATCATTTTCACTGAAGTTAAACATAAAAGTAAAAGGTTGCAGGAAGCTATACTAAGATAGACAAATCACACATTTTCCTTAAAAACATCACACAATTTTTAAATGAATGTTCAATGAGACTGAAAGGATGACTGTGAACTGAAAAAGATGTGGCATAGAGATATCAAGGTCTGTTTTAAAACACTACTTCATCTGAAGGAAAAGAAACAAACCTGAAGCTTTTTTTATTTCATAATATGCACACCCACAAACAGGGATCACCATATTTCAAATTAATAAAACAAAAGACTGATTTTCAGAATAAAGATGTGGCTTATGGAAGTGAATATATTTCTTCAACCAGACTGCCATGAACCATGCCTACTCACCAGGAAAGGATATGGGTCACTGAAATCGAAGAACCTCTTTTCACAGCACTCATCCTCTGTGGGATTGATCCAGTAGTAGCACTCACAAGGATTGTTGGTCTCCACATACAGCATGCCACGAATCAGCGAGTCCAACTCATCAAACTTGGCAAGACGCATGTTCAACTCCTGCATATATGCATGTAAGTTAATAAACTGCTTCTGAGTCAGTACCATTAACACAACTGACCACTGCAATCATCTTAAGCCAGCTTAATTCAACATTCACCAAAGTGTTTTAACACTTTGCGGACTGTGCACACATTAATATGTTTTTCGCTTTTAAACGTGGCAGACCGGTCGCGTATTAATACGTTTTTAGAACATGATCAGTTGCAGCACACTATATATTACTCTGGCGCCACCTACATTGCATGCAACTGCCTGCAGATGCGTGATAAGACTCTGGAATGTTTAGTTAGTAGTCAGTAACTTGACCTCGCTGTTTACTTAACTGACTATAAAGGAAAATCCTTTGCTTTCTTCAAGCTGTGTGTATCAGCCAGTAGGCAGTGGGGAGAATGGATCAAGGACAAATTCTCCTCTGATGAACTAGCTGACCTGCCTTGTGAGACGCGTAGTAATGGATTGTCATTCAGACAGCAACAGTGACGGGGGACAACAAAGAATTGTGGCCACAGACAGTAAAAGTGACAGTAGCTCCGGCGATAATGCAGGTAATAACATTGTGGGGCAGCAAAAAAATCTAAACCCTGATTCAAAATTGAAATACAAAGCATTTCTGATGAATGTGGCAAAGGCCTGGGCTACAGTCCAGATGGTGGCGGCAGAACCAGGGTCACACAAAGACTTAGTACGACGGGGCCCATCAACTCCCACCCCACGAAGGCCTCATGTGGACCCCCCAGGGCGACTCTCGAGTGATATGCGGAAAAATACCCTCGTGAAAATTGTGAAGAGTGAACATTCCAAGCGGAAGAATCCTTTTAGGCTATGCCATGTTTGCACAGTTCACAAAAAAAGGAGTATGTCTACATTTGCAAGTTCTGTGTAATGCCACTTCACAAAGGGGAATGTTTCCAGAAATATCACACCCCCAAGCACTTCTAGCAGCATTGGTAAGTGTTCTCCAAAAATTTTAGTTCAAAAAATTAATTAGGAGATTTTATATTAATTTTTAAAGTTAACAGTGCACAAGTTAGGGTAGTATGTTTAAAAATTCCGGTCCCCAGGGTGATTTAAATATTTAAATCGCCGGTCTGCGAAGTGTTAATATAATCACTGAATCTCTTGTTTCAAAAATTCAATGTGATCATGTTCCTAGAGATTTCTCAAACAAAATTTGTGATGATTTTCTTGTTTTTCTATTCATGTCACATGCCAAAATATTAGCACAATACACCTCACCTACTGTTGTTACAGTATTCGAAATGAACATGTCAAGATGCATGCAAAGAGAGGAAGAAAGGAAATCTGTGAAGGGTTTCTGAGGGGATTCCTCTTACTAAATAGCCACTTTGAAGGCAAAGAAGGAGATGGGAGGATAAGAGTTCAATGGGTACTGGACAAATACACTGCTGAGCTCTGAACTGGGTTTAGCTGGTCCAGGATCATGCCCAAAGGCAAGCGGAATTGTATTTTTGAGTCCATTGACAGTCAGATAGCTAAATGGTCCTGATAATAACACATAGGACTGGTTCATTTGTGAACAAGGGTGAAGCTTTTGTATTGTGGTCTCTTGGAGTTATGTTAATGTGTAGTCTGACAATGGTGTATTAATGTACAGAAGGAATATACTGCATATACCTTTGAGGTAGAAAAATATTCAGATAGTATGTTCCTCTGAAACACTGGTACCTGCCAACCTATATGGTGTCATAATCCAAAAAACCACAGATCTACTGCCATGAAAACACCAAAGCTTAAAAACTGAAGTTATCACAGTACCAACTGCACAAGTTAAAACCCAGCATACCCTTCGAAAGTTATCTTCAAACTTGTATGCTCCACCTCCTGTGGCACTAACAGTTGTGACAAGAGTGGCCAAGCCTTTGGACTTTGCCAGTGCCAGGAAGTTCCCCATTTCACAAGTCGGAAAGCGGATGAAATGAAGGGTTCCTTTGCGACGGCGAATCACGATATCGTCCATCTAAAACAGAAGCACCATGTCACTGTATCAACTAGACAGGATAGCTGTGCTCTAAGAAATGTTTATGTTGTGTAAGGAAGCAGATGAAACCAGCAACCCACCTCCTCATTGTTGTCAACGTTACCACCTCAATCTCCTCATCTACAGTAAAGGTGAAAGAGATCGAATAAGAGAAGCAAAATTCCAAGCATTCTTAACCTCTCAGGGCAGGAGGCTGTACACTCATAAAATCCTGCCACTGAACCCACAAACTGGTTATGAGTACAACCATACATAGTACTGCATACTCTTAAATAACTGTTAATAATTTCTCCATCTATTGAAAAGTGGCTAAACTAAGTAAGTCTGTGAGTTCTGAAGACCTTCTTTCACAGTGTCCTTTGCTTCCATTTCAAAGAACTTAAATATTTTTAATTCTAGCTTTTCTATGGCATATCATTTATTCCACCAATATGGCTGGTGTTTCAATACAGGCACATCAGTGATGCATATATTCCGAGATATTTTGAAGACTTTGATTTTGTATATGTCTTCTTTGGTCAATATAAGCAAAATACTTTAGTCAAATTCCAAATTACTCACATACACACAAATGCAAGTGATATCAGAGTATACAGGAAAATACTAATGCTCTGGGCTTAAATCATGTATATGCCAATGGTCAGTTTGATGGATTAACCTTGGCACAAGATAGGGATTGATGGTCAGGTTTATCCACCAACCTTCTCTATTCTCAGAGTAAGAGAACTCAGAATCCACTGGGGTGAGTGAACCATGTAGAACATGAGAATAACATGAAGAGTTCTGTCTTTTATGATATAACACTGTGTAGTCTGTTACATCCTAGAAGACAGAACTCTTCATAGCCACTGCTGTGAGAATCTCAAATCTTAATGAGACTAACATTCTTATTTTTTTTTATATTCCTCCTAAGCAGGATCTTGCAGTTCAGCAAATTAACAATGTGATGAATATTCTGAAAACTGCAGGTATCCATTACCTGTAGATGTGTATCCCTATGGCCCGTCTTTCCGTACGCGGAGTTCTTGGTTAGGTAGCGCCGGATGTTCTTCAGAGTCTCTACTTCAGCATCTGCCTCATCTGGGGTGATATCCTTTGGCTCAAAGTAAACAAGCTTTGACAGTGTGCCTCCAATGTCCATCCCAAACCATGGCATTGCTGTACCAAAGTCATGCACCCACAGTACTTGAGAGAAGTTCTAGTTTAAGGTCACTAAATATTTTAATTAATACTCTCATACAGAAAGGGCTCCTGTACACTCCAAAGTAGCAGAAATGAAGTCTATCCATCCAAGTTCAATAGAAGGGCACAGGGAGACACAATAAAATAAATCTTTTTAGGCAATGAATCATTTAGATTTTGTGTTTTAGTCAACATCAACACAGCTGATCATGCCACAAAATTTCAAATCCCTTATTCGAAATTAAAACCTGATTTAATATAGAAAAACAGCTTTCAAAATATACAGCATATTGTACTCTTTCATTAAAATCTTGAGAGCAATATAAATATTAATGTTTGTGTTAGCATCAATGCTTATCAGCATCATGTTACCTTCTACATAATACTTACTTATAAGCAAAGAACCATACTACAAGGAGAAATGAGGTGTTATTTATGGTCAATAGCCTCAACAAACCCATTCTAACTTAAGTAATACAGCTGTTCTCCATACTGGTAAGATAAGTACAACTGTAGGACGGGTATTGCAACAGAAACTAGCTTATTACTACACACGTGTAAGAGAGAGGTAAACACATAATGTAATGTGATTGCGTGTGATTGTGCAACTGTGTCTGTACACCTGAGGATGACCTCTTGGGGTCGAAACATGTAGTGTGACAGTAAATAAAAAATGTGTTGTGTGGTCGGTAAAATTAACTCTAATATTCATTTAATACACAACAGGATGCAAGAAACAATTAAATTTACATAATGTAACAATTTATATCATCAAATATAAGTTAGTGCGCTGTCAAAATAAAAATGTACATATATTAACAATGCGTGTATCAGTAAATTTAAAAGAATACCTGTGCTTCTTCAATAGCATTCACTGGTTGGATAATTATAGCATAACTAAAGTTTAAATTGCTAACTTTTGGTAACATACCTAATTAATAAAAAGGCGTAATGGACAGGTGCAAGATTGTGTTTTGTGCTAGCTCCATGTTTCCAGAAATTCCTCTACATGTTAAAAAATTATGAATATGTTTAAGTGCATCATACTACTTATACATAAATTTGTAATAATTTGAGACTAAATGCACATAAAAATTGTGTTAAAAATTCTTCTACCTTAGAAGACATTGCACTGTTTTGTAATACACTATAAAAACGTCACAAGGTAGCATCAGGTGCACAGGGTCAATCATATCAGGTGTACTGTATGTAGTATGGTACTATCTTTAACACTATTTTCTCCCTTGTGTGACTTCACAATACCAACATTACCATCAAAGAGAATAAAATCGGTTACACTATCTGCAGATGTCTGCATGCTGACAAGGGGCACACATGGAAAGATCACACAACAGCAAGCTAATACAACATCTTGTTAGTGTTTTACTGTTTCTCTTGAACCAACACATTTTGTGTAACTAAAATCTTGGTTGAAGAAATGACATCAAAGTAAATTTGAGAACTTTTGTATTTCACTTAGGTTCCTGTTATACATGGTACAGTCAATAACTTTGTGGATTGGAAGCACAGCGGTGCTGTTATGCACTACAGTGGATATGTGGAGCCACGAGATGGTGCCATGTCTGTTCTACTCTTGTCCCAGCAAGAAGCAGTTGTGTGCGTGTATGCAGTGTATTCAGAAAGAAAAACACTGTTGTGAAGGGTAACTGTCTGCAAGCGGCAGAAATTGAGGATGTCAGAATTTGAGTAATGGGAAAAAAACTTGGCAAATCTGCTATCAAAACATTTTGGATGATCAAGCAAGCGTATGGTGAAGAATCCTTTGGCTTGCTGTGTTTAAGGGGAACAAACGTTTTGCACAGAGGAGAGACAATGTGGAAGATGATGAGCCAAGAATGGTCCGAACTGAACTCAAGATCCAGGAAGCTGCAATGTTTGTGTGTGCCAACCACTCACAAAAGTCTAAGACCTGAACATGTCTTGTGTCACCCAGCACAGTGTTCCATGCGTCCTGACGCAAGACCAACATAATGATCACATGGGCATTTGCAGTGACATGATCGATAGTGCTGACAAAGACAGAACGTTTCTGAACTGGATCAGAACAAATGAAACATGGTGTTTTCTGTATGATCCACAAATGAAGTGACAATCAGCCACTTGGAAATTGCCATCATCACCAAGAAAGAAGAAACTGCAACAGGACATGTCAAAAGGTAAGGTAATGCTTGAACTGTTTTCTGATTCATCTGGAATTGTTCACGTGGAATTCATACCAGAAGGGGTGACTGTAAACAAGCACTGCTTGAAGGAGATCCCTTGCCAGCTACGCAATTCAACTTGTATTAAGCGTCCTGTGCTTTGGCGCAGGAAGAACTGGCTATTGCTACATGACAACCCCCCCAAACATTGCTCTGTGCTTGTCCAAGAGGAGCTGGCAAGGCAACAGGTCACCATCCTGCCATACCCTCCATACTTGCCTGATCTCACACCATGCGATTTCTTTTTCTTTACCCCCTTGAAAGGAAGGCTACGTGGGTGTCCATTTCAGTTGGCCAAGGAGATTGTCACTGCCACAAGGGAAGCCATACTGGACCTTGTAGCAAATATATTTCAGCAGTGTTTCCAGCAGCTACACCAACACTGGCAGACTTGCAGAGCGGCCAACAGTGACTGTTTTGAGGGAGGATGTGGATATGTGTAAGTGTATGAGTATCTTGTAATATTGTGCAACAAAACCACAGTCCACAAAATTATTGACTGTAGTAGTATAATTTGATTTGTTTCATTCTGGTCCGTCACACTAACAGTATTACAAATGATAAAACAATTCCGTCCAGTGTGACTGTTGAAACTTTTACTACTTCACTTGTTAGCACCCTAACATGTTTCGGTCCCTATGGACCATCATTAGAGGGAATATCAATACTTTTAGAAACTACTATTACATTGGGTGTTTTGATTTTTAAAATACATAAATATACAATATTTGTAATATACACTTTATACAAAATCCAAATTTCTTACAACTACAGCAACTGTCCTTGATGCATTAAAGTTTTTTAAAAACAGTTGTTATTTAAGTTAAAATTCTTTAACCGAATAGGTTCGTGTCCCTTGTCCTTTTGTTTTTCTCGACGGGGCCGAACCTTTTCTTGGGAAGGTAGTTCTGCAAATATATTATGGGTATTGTATTATTTTAAATATACTATTTTATATATATATATAGGAATTTGTTGTTTTTCGTCCTACCTTGTTGTCGTCCTATGTTTGTTCGTAGCGTGCTGTGTTGTTTTTACTGTTCTAGTATGTACTGTGTCACGTAATTTATACTTCCCGAGTTTATGACGTTAATGTGGGTGTGTTCTGATGTTGTATTATGAGGTCGAACATGTTACGTTGGTTATTACTGTCCTTTGTGTTCTTCTATTAATTTATTGAGCTTATTAAAATGATATATACGGAAATCTTCTTTTATATTCATTATACCTCCTTTTATGGCTTTCTCAATCATTTCCATGATTACTGTCATCGGTTCATACTGGTGTTATTTATTTAGTATATGTAGGGCGAACGCTGATTCATCTTTATTTAGTCTTATGTTTCTTATGTGTTCTTTATACCTTGTTGTTAGATTTCTACCAGTTTGGCCGATGTATACTTTTTGGCACCTTTGGCATGTCATTTTATAGATCCCACTTGGTTCATAGAGGTTTATTTCTTGTATTCCATTTATTAGTTTACCTATTGTGTGGGTTGTTTTGAAGGCTATATTTATGTTAGTGTTTTTGAATAATTTTGTGTTTTTTTGTATGTAGTTTCCTGTACGAGTATAAGTGACCCATTTTTGTTCTTTTTCGTCTTTATTATCCGATTTACTTTTCTTTTGTTTAAGTTTGTTATGTTCTTTAAACAAAAGAATAGTAAATCAGATAATAAAGATGAAAAAGAACAAAAATGGGTCACTTATACTTATACATCAGAACACACCAACATTAACATCACAAACTCAGGAAGTATAAATTACGCGACACAGTACATACTAGAACAACCCCATGTGGAGGCGGGGTCAAATACCTCCACCATGACCCTGTGAGTCGTAGGAGGCGACGGAAAGGGAAGTCTCAGTTTTGAGACAGTAAAATATGGTCACGAGCCCCAAGGGGCTGGGACCCGAGTAAGACTGCGCTGGCAAGGGCCAGCAGCATATACAAAGGACAGACCTGTCCTCTCGTCAGAGAAGGCGCCCCACAGAAATAAGACCGTCAAACGGTAATAAGACTTACTGACTGACTGACAGTCAGTCGCAATGTGACTTTGACTTTGACTTGACTACTACGTAGAACAGTAAAAACAACACAGCACGCTACGAACAAACATAGGACGACAACAAGGTAGGATAAAAGAACAAACTCCTTAACATATATATTGTCACATGTTGTGTATGTCACGCGACAAATAACTTTAGGTGGGTCTTGGATTTAGCGAATCTTTAATGAACACACGTGTTTACACACTTACGAGTATAATTATTATCCATTACTTCACTGTTATAATTACTTCTTGTACCACTGATCTTGGTGAAGTCTTCTATTCTTCACTGTTACTCCAGCGGCTGCTATATTTCAACTGACTGTCTCCAAGTCCAAGTCACATTGCGACTCACGTTCAGTCAGTCAGTAAGTCTTGGTGTCAAGCCCCGATCAGATATGTCTCTTGTCGAAGCTGGCTTTTATAACTTTGGCGGCTGCTATGCAATGAACCTTCTGTTGTCATGCAACGCTTCGAACAATTCGTTACCTTTCATCTCCTAGAAAACGCGTTTGTTTGCCCCAGGCAACGGCCCATTGTTATTGCGTTGTCACTTGCTTTTATAACTTTGGCGGTTGCTATGCAATTAACCTTCTGTTGTCATGCAACGATTCGAACAATTCCTTACCTTTCATCTCCTAGAAAACGCGTTTGTTTGCCCCAGGCAACAGCCCACTGTTATTGCGTTGTCACTGTGGGAACTCTCCGTGTATTCATCATAACCATGGAGACTCATTGTATGCTGTTAACTTCCTATTGTGGCCGTTGTGCAGCAATGACTCTATGATAGCATGTTACATTGCTCCCTTCTAAAGGCTGTTCATCCTGAACAGCCTAACAGTATTTTCTTTCATTTGGCGTTCGTCTTCAGGGGCGCTGCCTCCGCACCCCTTCTTCATGGGTGCTCGTCCCGAGCAGCTCCGTAGTAGGGCGGGAGCCAGTCCAGGTGTACTACCAACATCTTCGACCTAGCGTTCTTCCGGATTCTGTATACTATGTCATTTATTCGGTTGATTACCTTGTAAGGGCCTTCCCACGAGGATTAAAGTTTCGGTGATTTCTCCTTTTGCAGGCTGGCCAGTAGAGCCACACTCTGTCGTCCTCATAGAAACCTGTGGAGTTGGCCAGTTTATCATACTGAGTTTTCATTCGATCACTGGCGAGCTTCAGGTGTTGCCAGGCATAATTGTGGATGTCTTGTAGATGATCCACTCTTGAAGAGACGGATGGATGCGGCAGTTGTCACATGTTGGGTATGTCATGCGACCAATGACTTCACGTGGGTCTCAGATTTAGCGAATCTTTATTGGGCACTCACACTTACACACCGTACAATTATCACCACTTGCAGTGTCACTTGAATTCTGACCCAGTACTCCAGTGCTTATACTGTCCTTGGCCGTGGCTGGATCTCATGTCTTCGGTGACGGCTATCCCAATACTGTCTCGGCGAGTGCATTACCTTGTTATATATCCGCGGCCGTTGCTACGCAGTGAACCTTCTGTTGTCTATCACCGGGTAAACGCTGCTTCGTTGATTCTGCAATTCCTAGGCAACGGCCCACTGTTATTGCGTTGTCTCTGTGGGAACTCTCCACGTATTTGTCGTAACCATGGAGACTCACTGTAGGCTGTTGCACAACGATGACCATAAGATATAGCATGTTACACTGCTCCCTTCTAAAGGCTGTTCGTCCCGAAGAGCCTAACAGTACTTCCTTGGTTTCGTTTCCTAAGGTGTTCATCTTCTGCGTGTTACCTCCGCCTTTTCTTCGGTGTTTTGCCTTCCTTCCATCCGCCCCCCCCCCATCTTCTAGAGTGCTCCTCCCGAGCACTTCCAGGGTCCAGGGGTTGTCAGTCCCATTGTCTCTCATTCATTCCTCACCTTCATTCTTTCTTTATTCATTCTTGCTATGGAGGCCGGTGTTTCTACTACCGGTTCCTCCCATGTGGGCCGTTTCCTTTCTTCCACTTCAGAGTGGGTTGACCCCTCCACAGTGTCCAGTTCTTGACGTTTTATGGTGGGACAGGAAATTTGGTAATTCGCTTCGTGGTCTCATGTCCGGTCATTTTTCTGTAGGGCTTGATCCTTGTTCCTCTTGTTACATTGCGGTTGCGCCCGTTGTCTCTCCCGTGCGTCCATCCTTTTGAGGTTCCTAACATTACTTTGTCCCTGGTGCAGTTCCTTCCGACGGAGTTCTCCTTACGCTGTGCCACTTTCGCACAGCAGGTCGTGTTTGGCCCGAGGATGTCTCTCGTGCGTTGTGCCACTGTTGCGCCATGGGACATCCTTATTCTCTCAGCAGCCAGTTCTTTCCGCGGTCCACAATTATTTTGGGTCGAAGATTTCTTGAAGATGTTTCTCTTGCACCATGCCACTGTTGCATGGCAGGACACCTCCCTACAGGCGGTAGCCAACTTCCTCCAGGATCCACAAATTCCTCAAGTCAGTTCCTCTGGCTCCTCTCATTGCCCTGCAGCTTACTTCTTGCCCCTGTGCGCTTCTTCCATCCATTGACCGGTTTCACTATGGCATCTTCGTTGGGGACTTCTCCTTTTTGTGCTTTCCTGTCCAGTGAGGTCGGCTTTTTCTCTTCCTGACGCGCCTCCATCTCTTGGCAGGCCATCGTCTTTACTTCTGTTTCGTATTTCAGTTCGATCTCCATTTCTTCGTGGCTGGCTCTCCTCTTTTCCTGCCAGGCTTTCCAATCGGCCATCATTTCTTCATGTCTGGCGTCCGCCTTTGCCTGGTTGCTTCTCGCTTCTTCTCACATAGCCAGCAGGAGTTCTATCATTTGTTGTGACTCCATTCTTCTGTGTTTTATAATGTAACGTTCATTGTGCTCATAAATTCAATAATTCTTGCAAATTCGCAAGTTACAATATATATAAAATAGGATTTTAAAAATAATACAATACCCATAATATATTTGCAGAACTACCTTCCCAAGAAAGGCAGGTGGCACAAGTTTGGCCCCGTCAAGAAAAACAAAAGGACAAGGGACACAAACCTATTCGGTTAAAGAATTTTAACTTAAATAACAAAAAGTTTTTAAAAAACTTTAATGCATCAAGGACAGTTGTTGTAGTTGTAAGAAATTTGGATTTTGTATAAAGTGTATATTACAAATATTGTATATTTATGTATTTTAAAAATCAAAACACCCAATGTAATAGTAGTTTCTAAAAGTATTGATGTTCCCTCTGATGATGGTCTATAGGGACTGAAACATGTTAGGGTGCTAACAAGTGAAGTAGTAAAAGTTTCAACAGTCACACTGGACGGAATTGTTTTATCATTTGTAGTAGTGTAACATAAACAATGGGTGCAGTAATATGCAGTTAAGGTAACTAAATGTTATTACATATCCATTAATAATACTTCCCATCAAATATCATTTTCTTTATTTCTAGACTTACTGCAAATTAACCAATGTACGGGAAATCAAGAGACAAAAAATTGAATCTGGTTAACAGCTGTAATACTGTATTTTAATATCTGATAATGCATATTTTCTCCATAAAACAGTGCCTGCTGCCTGTTTTCCATGTAATTTCATGCAAGCTAGTAGGAAGATCAAACCATCGTCATTGCCTCGCACTTTTTTATACCATTATATTCTTGGGCTAAAGGGCGGCCAGTGTGTATTGGCCAGTGTGTATGGCTAACCACCTCACCAGCATAAGTGAGCTAAACGTCTAGAAAACGTGGCAGCCTGAACGTCTCACAACCCTATGGGCCTCCATAGCCTGGTACAGGGATAGTTTTTTTTAATGTTACCAAAAGAGAGACTATGAAAAACTAGTGCCACTCACTTTAATATCACTAAATGTTGTATAATGATACACCTTACAATCTGAAGGAACTGAAAACATACAAGGCATGTCATCTACTCCAAAGCCATTCTCCTCGCACTTAGCAGAAGACTCATCCTTGCTAGAGCCTGCCATCATGCAGCCTCGAAGGCAGTCCTTACAGCTGTGAGGGCTCATCAAGACACACTGACAACACAGGCAGCCTCACAAATTTAGCTGAAACACAACATGACTTGTATGTGCAACTGTCTCTCATAGAGTGCACAGCAGAAAGAAATCAACTCCTGCAATGTGTACTACTTCAAGACAACTGTCTGTTCTTATTCAAAGTATGACAACCAAAGATCATTATCTTTACCAAATGAACATACAAAACTTGAAATGACGATGCGAAATATAGCACTGCCAACCTCAAAAGTTATACATTCTTCAAAGTTGCTCAATCATCCTATTCGACGCTCAGCCTGGTAGGCCTTAGTAGGCCTCCGGCATTTCAAATGATTTACATTAACAAGCAGGTACACTTTATGACGTTAAGTTAACTTGACACACGATACTCATGAAATGAATTAATCTACCTTTTTTAAACAAGTACTCCTCTTTGCCATTAGTCACGTGACATGTAAATGTAACACATTTTTCCTTCTCGATGTACATTTAATGCACTGTCATGTTGTGCGACGGCTTCTTTCCAACTAATGCATGACTACTAAATAGGCTTTGTCACTGCTAATCTTCGGAACAAGAAATGAATATGAACCTACCTCCGTACATTTTTAAGAGTCACTTGACACACACTAGACTTGGGTGAAATTAATCTATAAATGTAAGATTCGCACCCTAATGCGAAATGAAACTCTGGCCATCTTTTAACATGACATGATTATTTCTGTGTATAAACCACACCAACCACGGATATACAACAAAATATACAGTGTTGTTATTTAGCTACAGCCATTGAGTTATAAACGAATGTGCTGCTATCTTTTCTCTATTCATAACAAGAAATTCAATTTTTTCGTGATCTTCGTGATACTCACTTTCCACTAGTAATATCCGTGACGTCCGTGATTTCATAGCAAATTGAAGTACTTGTTTCTGTGTTGGGATCCGTAGCCAGAAGGCGTCTAAAGAGACTAAAGATCCTAAAGATGACCGGTGGAAAGATTGTGTAAATCAGCTATAGCACTCTATTCATTGTAATTAAGAGAGAGACACTGTAGTCGAAGTGCTAATAAATTAATCCGAACTAGAATCCGTTATTCTCGTTACGCGTACAGCGCTACACGCGACAAAATTATGTCTTGCTTCTATTAATATTGTAATAGTTGAATTCCTATGATAGTAATCACATTAGTTCTGTTAAACACTACTACTACACAGTTAATGTTTCAGATCTGACCATTTTCAACAGCATGTGTGATGGATTGATTTAATACAGTCCATATATTGCAATGTGGATTGTACGGTGTGCATTAGTCAATCAAAAGCATCATCCACCCACACACACACACACACACACACACACACAAATGCTGCTGCTGCCGCCGCCACCACCACAACTTAGAATCACTGTGCTTGTGAGTGCCAGCAGCCAGTCTGTCATAAGACATTTGTCTGAGGGCTCCAAGAGCTGTCAGAGAGTAAAATAAGGTTGTAAGATTTGAGGCACCACATATACACGGTGCCAAATCCCAGAAGACTGCTTTCTTCTTAAAATAAGGTTATTAGACCCATGGAACTCAGACCCAAGAATCACTGTGCTGATGAGGGCCAGCAGCAATTTAGCAGTCAGTCAGCCGTGAGACAGAGTTGTGAGATGACAGCCAGCCAGCCATGACGTAAGCACGAAAAAAAGAAGATACAGTTGGGAGCCACTACCAAGCAATGACTAGTGAAGATGTAACAGACTGAGAAGGCTGTGTCTGCAGTAGTGGCTTGTTAAGCGTGTAAATTAGCAATAGCGTTATAATTTTGTAGTTGCAAGTTACAGGTGTGCAATAAATCAACGGCAATCCAAATCCCATATCTAGTCACTAACATGTGATAACTGGTGACAAGTAGATAAACTGGATTGGATTGGTTAAATTGTTGAGTTTGGGACTGCAGTAGATCGTTATATTGTCACAGTACAATGGAGCAAGTAACAATGCCTGCTGGCCATTCAAAAGGAAATAAAAACCAAAATATAAACCAGCCAAGAAATGAATGCCCATCAAGAGAAGATGGAAACCCAAATGAATGTCAGTCAAGAGAAGATGGAGTCAACGATAAATAGCAGCCATGAAGAAATGAAGACAGCAATAAACTCAATGCAGTTAGAACTGGAAGAGGCCATCAAAAAATCGGGTGGAGGACGTCCTGACATCCATTGATTAACAGACACAGTGCCTTCATGAGGAACTCAACATGAAGATGGAAGAAACACAGCTGGACTTACAAATGTCCCTCGAAACACAGACCAGAAATCTCTGCGAGGTAGCTGACACAAGGAAGTTCCACTCTAAGATAGAAAATACCCCAAGCTGTCCACACTACAGGCCAGCACTCTAACACTGAAGGCCAAGCTGACTGCAGACCTTTCAGGAGAACAGGAACCATCATAGGTGCAGCATAGACATCCAAGATTGACAGTACAACATCAAGGGCCATGCTCCAACAGCTGTTAAGAGATAATTGTGGAGCACAATGACTGGATGCCCCATGACAAGGCCACATACCTGATCACTGCCTTGAACAAGCCAAATGCCCACATTCTACAAGGGTTGGAACTTTACTAGTGGCAACACTGCTGTAGAGATGCCATGCAACAGAACCAAATAATGTTGCTTATACCACATGTTAGTTATATACCTTACCTCAGAGCAAATGGACTATCCCTTCCCACATCATGCGCATGCGCAGTGATGAGAAGAACAGAGCCTTGTGTTAGCTGGCAGTCTAATGTAGTGTTGTAGTTGGATAAAAATTGAATGTGCCAGAGGCCATACAGCATGACAGTGTCATCAAGGTCTTCAAGAGGCTTGCAGGGAATCTGCATAGCCTTACAGAACAGTGGCAAGGTGGGTAAAATCCTTTAACGAGGGACGCCAAAATGTGGCAGACATGCGTCGGCAAGGTCATCCTAGTGTCAGTGAAGAAGTGTATGCCCCTTCCACATTACTGGAGAGTGATAGATGCCATATGATTCGTCAGCTGGCTGGCGAGACTGTGTTTCGCATTCTGAAGGTATGCCTGGGCATGGGAAAAATTGCATCATGATGGGTTCCGCATGATTTGACGGAAATGCAGAAATGGCTACAATATGACGCTGCTTGTAACCACTTGGAGCGCTATGAGCGTGAAGAAGAGGCTTTCTTACGCTGTATCATTACGCTCGATGAGACATGAGCCAAATCGTACGAGCCACAAATGAAACGCCAATCGAACAAATGGTGTCATTACGGGTCACCACAAAAATCAAAAGTTTGTCAGAACCCCAGATTCTCCTGTATGACTGTGATGGTGTTATCCTAACGCATACCATTCCCCAACAGCAGACCATTAATGCACAGTATTACGGTTCATTTTTGAAACACAACCTGTGACCAGCTTTGAGAAAGAAGGAGCAACACTTTCTGCAGAACCCACCCATCATTTTGCAGGACAATGCTTGGCCGCATGCAGCGCAAGCTGTGGCTGATTTGTTTGATCAATGGGGCTGGGAAGTGCTGTACCATCCACCATACTCCCCGGACTTAAGCCCTTGTGACTGACTTGATTCCTAATATGAAGGAACCACTTCGTGGCATTCGCTTCAAAACTGTTCCAGAGATTCTTCAAGCAGTAGACCGCTCCATTCGAACTGTCAACACAATGGGCGCTGCTAAAGGTATCCTACAACTTCCATATCGCTGGCAACGGGTTGTACACAATGCTGGTGACTACAGTGAAGGACAGTAAATCTCTGAAACATGCATCTATTTTGTATCAGTTGTAAATAAATAGTTGCCACTATTAAAGTTCCAACCCTCGTACAAGGCGTCCCCTACTGGAGCGATGTACTTAGTTACTGCAGCACTTGAGAATCACTACAGGGACCACCACCTGGAACAAGCATTCCATGCTCAGGTGAGGAGGACCATGCTGTCCAACTGTGGCCGCTGGGTTGTGATGCATGTCTTGCTCCCCCCCCCAAGCGTTGCAACACCTCCTGCATCAGACAGGACTCAAAGTTATGGACCTGGTCACTGCAACTCTCATGGTACTCTGAAGTGGCAGAAATTCATCACCACCGACGCCTCTTGGCTGGGGACTGCATAGGTGAATACAAAGTCAAACACCACATTCCTGGTTTAGTTCTTGCTTGAGTCTTCCTAGAAGACTTAGTGAACTAATGGGCAAAAGATTTCTGATATACCCAAGTATAATGTAATGCAATCACAAATTCAACTAGCTTCTAGTGTAATGGCACCAGCATGAGGGAGAATGATGGATAGCACTGCTGATAGCAGCTGGGAGAATTACCACATGACTGATGAATATGTGCGCATTGAAAATTTGTTTTTTGAATAACTTTATAAAAATGGTAATCAGTTCTTTTAGAATTCCAGTAACCAAGAGTTTACTGTGAATCATTGCATCCTACCACTTTTCAGTGTATGTGCTTTAGCAGAACAATCTGGAACTTCATGATATGCTTATGAAGCATACTGAATCTATTTTCTACATACTGCAATATATGTCAGATAACACATAAGTCAAATCATCATTTATTAATGTAGAACAGATGTTTTTTGATTGACAATCTTCTTGTAACGTTTTTTTCATTTAGCATGCTGCAACATGAGTGTGAGTATGAGTATGCCACGACACTTTCAATTCAGGTGCATTTTTTTTATTCATCACAATTCGCAAGTATGGTGAGATCTTATTCAGCCCTATTTTATCATCTCATTGGCCTATGCTGTTTCCTTGTTAAACTGTTGCTGACTCAAAACTAAAAATTTGTTAAATATTGCTCATTTCTTTAATTACATATTTCAGAGTTTACAACTGCATTACCTTTTCCATTCCTTTATATTTGTTACATACTTTCTCAGAATAGTCATTTTTAATGTTAATGTTATTTGTCTGTCACTTTCATCATTTATATGTTCCTAAAACATTGTAATGTTATATTTTGCTTGAACTGTTATGTATATTACAAAAAGTATACAAATGAATATTATAACCTGGTATGAAGAATAACTTATGAACACATTCTATATATAGACACATATATGGACTTGCATGACTTGATGTACTGTGAGATACTGAATTGTGTATGTGTATATATATATGTATATATGTTGTGATAGGAAATCTTTTAGGAAATACTGATTAAGAGCAATTCAACCAGGGAAGTTACAATGAGCAGAACATGCAAGTAAGATGGGGAGATAATTTTGGTAAAGGTCTATACAGTAGCCTGTTATGTGGTGGGTGAAAGCTTCAACCGTAGTCAGGGAAGAGATTTTTCTCTTTGGTAAGATATTCAGGCTGGCTACAGGGACAGTCTAGTGGATGGGACTACCTACCTAGATGACCAGCAAAAACAGTGTGAAGCTTGATCACTAGCCTCCATCTCATGCTGATATCCAGAATATGTGGACTATTCTTCCACAATCCCATATGCCATCATAATATGGCAGGTAACATTCCACATGTCCTTAGATATCATACACCTGTTGCAGCCTCTGCTTCATATGTCTGCTTAAAGAAACTAACACTAGACAGCAGATTGAAGTTTGGGAAACTGAGTTAAATACTGATCATACATTACTGCCATCAACACACTTCTGAAATAATCACTTTTCTTAGTTGTTTGTTAGCACCTAAAATGATCTCATTCTCAAGGGTTAAGCTGAGTTGAAGGGGATCAAACAGGGCTCTGTATGTGCTATTTATTGCTCTCAAAATGTACAGCAATGGAGGGACAGAGATGCATGCCAATAAAGCAAGTCACAGTATGCTGTGTAATATGGTGAACCACAGCTACCTGTAGGACAGTCGAGACTAGGACAGTGCAACTCTCTCCCTCTTCAACCAACAATTCATTAATAGTACAGATTTCATAATTCTTTGTGACCATTTGTACTTAGCCTGAAACCTATACCACAGAGATCACTGTTCCTATCTTCAGTGCAGAATTGCTGCCACTCTTATGGTACAGTAATACACCACCTAAATAAGTAATTGTTTTATTATCTAACTCTTTCACTGCTAACTCAAAGAGTATGAGCACTGTCATCCTAAGTGCATTAACATTTGACTTTTAATGGCAGATTAAAAAACCATACTAAAATTCAAGGAATATTATAACAGGTGTTGATCTAGTGCATAAGACATTTACTTGTGAGGAACTGCCAGTTCTCGAAAGGTGTGGCAGTGAACTGCCTGGTCCTGCGAGTCCTGTATGTTCTGGCAGACTCTAAAAAGCTGGTTTTCAATTGCATGTAATTCATATAGATGTTAAAAATGGCACAACAATAAATATTCGACTACAGCACTAGACTTGGGAAAGGGTTATACAATATGACATTAGGCTTCTGAGACAGAAACTCAACTTCCTAATATGATGAAATTCTGAATCTTCTGTCTAGCACAGGACAGGATTATGCTATTGAGGATGCCTTAATGTCACCATAAACAGGAAAAGCACTCTGGTGCAGGAGCTTCACTTCTGACTTATAAATGTGCATACAAAATTCTAATTAACTAATGACAGACAACATGGGACTTTCCAACTAAAACATAAGAACTTTAAAATACATGTGTACCAAACCAACAAGTAGTCCAATGTGCTGTAACACGTTTGTACTCTGAGTACTAGTTACAAAGTGATGTCGCTAGAACAGGGTGAGATCAGGCAGAGGGAAGAGCATTTTATATTATATTCACACAGCATGCAGCACACTGGACACCAACAAATGCATCACATAATACTAACATATATCATCCAGTGGGCAAGACAGCACATGCCTTTCATTTTCAGATTCAATTCTCCTTGTCCACTTCATACACCTTTACCACAACAAGTTTTCTAGTGAAAGCAAACTAGAGGCAGCACACTGACTTCTGAGTTTGGTGCATGCAATACTGAACTATATGCAAAGTTCCATGCAAGACAAATGTATCCCCATGTTATGTGATACTTCAGAGTGCAGCAAATCTGATTTCTCTCAACAAATTAAATATGAAAAAAAAAAAAAAAGAAGATAGAATGGAAAATGAATGAAGGAATGTGACAAATTAGCATCTCCCGTGTAAATTAAGCTTTAACCATACAAAAAGAAAAACAAATTAAAATGTCATATATACAGAGACAATACAGTGACCATCATGCAGCAGTAAATGTATCAGAAGGACATAAGGAATAAGATAACTCAACCACATATGAACTGAATTGCCCAAAACAAATAACAGAAGTGATAGGAAGAAGAAAATCAGGGGTATATACAGGTACCAAAAAGTGGTTAAAACACTAAAATAAGAAGGCACAAAGATACTGCTTACTGAACACATTAAATCAGCCATATGCAGGCATTACAACACTTGAAAGAAGTGTGATCCGGGGTACAGATGAATTTAAAACAAGCAGCAGCACATCATCACTGTTAACAACAAGGATCAGTCACCAGCCAATGGGTCAATCTGCGAAGACAATTATTAATTCACAATTTTTCTCTAACACTGGCCATTATCATCATCTGCAATTTGTTAAGAGCTTTCAGTTCTTGTGGGAATTGGTACTTCTGTTTCAACTATGTACATGTTCTCTTCAAACACATTCCTAATATGACCAATCAGTGGACATGGAATGGCTGCCTTCAATTTATAGAAAATGTTCACACTGCTTATCATTCCAGCAGATCTGACGAAGTTCAGTTTAAACGAACAAGACTAACACTTGCACATTTTATCAGAAATAACCTATATTTGTAATGGAAAACACAAGACACAAAACTTGGTCAATTCCGATGTTATCAGATGCTGGAAGCTGTGATAAGTCATGGGTGGTATGCTGGCACCTCACCCACTGGATGATGGAAATTAAAACAATGCATATAAAACTAAAAGTAGGACTGGAAATGAATTTAAAAAATAACAAACTTTAAGTCAGTTGCCCGGAGGCAATGTCTACTGAGGAAATTAAGTAGGTCAACATTTTCGATGTGATGAAATGCAAGGCCGGATTCCTTTTGGAGCAGAGCCCAGAGGAACTAATCCTGTCTACAAGAGCTCTTAGATAACTAGGAAAATGCTTACATCCTCTAAAATAATATTTCAGTAATCAGGTGCTCTACTATATATAGAACCAGTCTGCCAGTCACAGAGTTTATGCAGGGCAACCATTTTGTATCAGAGCTCTCATACAGGGCTATTTCCTGCAATGAACTCTTCCATTCAGTCCTAAAACAATGGCCCTGAGGAGAAACATATATCCATCTGTGTGTTAGCATCTGCTTGCACCACCACTTGGAAAGAGAACAGTCCGCTCCTCGGGCATCACTCTGTCTTCCTTGTCACACAGCAGGGGTCTGTCCTCTCTGGCTGGGCTCTGCGGACGTTCTCCACGATTACTCCTTATATTGCCATTGTGCTCTGCACCTGGGGAAGAAGCCCTACCCCCCGGACTGCTTGGGCCATGCACTGACCCACTGCTGGTCGAGAGGGACTGTAACACACTCACATCATTCCCAAGGGCCGCAGTGCTCCGCTCAGAAGTCATGATGGAGCGCTGTAGAGCTTCCCTATCACTCTGCAAGTACACACGGTAAAAATGGCATGTGACATATACAAGGATGAGATGAATTTGTATGGTGTTTAGAACCAAATAGGTAACTCATCTATTCAGAAAATTAACTAGTCTCTACATACCCGCCTAAGTAGCTAGTGTTTTTTATTTGAATTGGCAGATGGGTTCAATATATTCTTTGAAAATACATTGAACAAAACAATTTACATTCACAGAAAACCATCAATCCACACTGTTACATTTGGCACCACTGTATGATCTATGATTTCCTGCTTATTCCCCACTCCTTTAATTTCTTTAAAGCCAGAGTATATGTGATTGATGCATGCCACCACAAATTCCAGTGAAAAACACTAAATAGCTAAATACTGTCACTATTGACTATACATGATGTTTGGATTGAATACTGAATTTACTGAACGTTTATATGAGGGAGAGTCAGTAAATAGGTCATAAATTGATATAAAACATATAATATTCAAACCTGGAAAAAACATTTATTTCTCAACATATCCTCCACCAGTACTGATATACTAGGTGGTTTAAATATGACCGGGACTGATTTTTTGTAAACAAGCCACACTGCGCAGCAGCTGTGCGACCTTGAGAGAGTGAAGCCACGACCTCCACCCTCCCTCCTGTTAGAGTTAGAACCTGTTCAGTCCTGTCTGGAAGTTGCTAGAGTGATGAGTGAACAGAAGGTACCGCAGAGCGTGGATCAACGCATTGCGATCAAATTCCTCATTTGAGAAAACGTCCCGTCTGCCGAAATTCACCACAGACTCCAACAACAGTATGGGGAAGAGTGTCTCTTATGGACTCATGTGTCTGAGTGGTGTAAGTGCTTCAGAGAGGGCAGAGAGCTTGTGGAGAATGAACCACATGATTGTCGGCCACGAACATCCATCACCAAGCCAAACATTGATCGTGCAGACACACTTATTCGTGAGAATAGGTGCATCACTATCAAGGAACTTGGAGCAATGCTGTCCATCAGTGTTGGTAGTGTAGAAGACATCATGAAATACCACCTGCACTATCGCAAGGTGAATGCACAGCGGGTACCATGCACTTTGACGGATGTGAACAAAATGGTGCGCATACAAGCTGCCAGTCGTCTCCTACAGCAGTTTGAAGATCAAGGTGATGCATTTTTGAAGTCTATAGTGACCACCGATGAAACGTGGGTGCACTACTTCATTCCCGAGTCCCAGCAATCATCACGCGAGTGGGGCATACCAGTTCTCCCAAACCCAAGAGAGCGCAGAGGAGCCGTTCGGCAGGAAAAGTGATGGCAGCGTTCTTCTGGGACTGGCAGGGGGTTATCCATGTAGACTTTCTGACAGATGCCAGAACAGTCAATGCAGCTTATTACTCGGACCTCCTGGCAACAGACGTGAAGAAAAAGATCCGATCCAAGTGGAAGAGAAGTGGAAAGCAGGTAGCCTTCCTTCAAGACAATGCACGCCCCCATACGGCTACAACAACAATGGAAACTCTCCAGAAATTGAACTGGAACCTTCTGACACATCCGCCGTACAGTTCCGATTTGGCACCAAATGATTTCTACCTGTTCGGAAGGCTCACATCAGACTTGCAAGGCATGCAGTTTGTGGACGACGCCGTCATCCAGAATGTTCAGGAGTGGATACGCTGCCAACCACAAAACTTTTTTGAAAAGGGCATCAGGATGCTTCCAGAATGTTCGAAAAAATGTGTTGACTCCGGAGGGGAGTACATTGAAGACTGACAGGTGCAAGTAAGTGTTTGGCAATTTTGGTTTAAAAAAAAAAATCAGTCCCGGTCATATTTGAACCACCTTGTACTTATCACATCACTTTACCCGTACATTGAAACCCGTACCACAGAAGTCTTTGATTGTTGTCTCAGCCTCTTCCACACCTCCATTTCAATCGCTTCATCAGCGAAATGTTTGCCACCCAGTTGTGAACAGCTTTATGTGGCAAACACTTTCCACCGTAAACAGGAAACATTTCTTTATTAACATCCTTTGCTCTGAGTCCTTCTGCTCACAAAAAAGCACAAAAGAACGCTGCTCTTCGGTAGTACATCCTCAAGAATGCTTGCCATTTTGACTACTGAAACCAGCCTCTGAACATGTGCACCCATGTCTGCTACCTAGACCAGTGGTTCTCAACCTTTATGAGACTGTGGCCCAGTATAATTGATGCCAGGACCAGGTACTGGGTCGTGGCCTGACTGTTGAGAAGTACTGACCTAGACTGTCATGAATCTGGACTGTGCTGGTACCTAGTGATACACAAAGAAAACCTAGTACATCCATTACAGCTGTTTTACTTCCATTTGTGATTTATTTGCTGACCCTTCCTCATAACTTGTAGCCACAAATGATTACATCACTCACTACACTACACACACTACAAATCACTGTAGCATACACTAAGTTTTCTCACTCTGTTATGCCTTCACTAGTCATTGCTTCTAACAGTGGAGCTTTGTCTGCTTCCGTACTCATTGTCAACCGCCAACCACAGCTGCTCACTCACAATCAACTGTTTAGCACTGACTGCTGATTCAAAACTGACTCACTTCAGTCAGAGTCAAAGTTACTTCACAGCTGGCATTTTACCACCAATCAGTTCATCTTGGTGCCATGCCACAAGGCTAACGAACAGCGTTTTTGGGGGTGGGGGAGGTCAACTGAACCCTTGCAGCCATAGTCCTTGTGCAACATCCTCTCTGATAAGAGGATTCTCTTGTGAATAGGCTTGGCCTTTGTCAAGTGTACATATCGCATGTATACCATGTTATTGAGAATTCTTCCTTTTTCACTATATACAGGTCCTCTTATCAGTCCAGGTTTTGCAAAGCAGATCATGCCTATCTTACTTATCTTATGCTAAAACAGAAGTTTAGTCACTTGGACAGTCATCAGCTTGACCACCGCCAAGTTTAAGCCTCTTATATTTTCCATATCTGGCTTTGCCTTGTCCTTACTGTGAGCATGTTCATTCTCATGATTTTGTATGACCTCTGCTTGCTACCTGCACCATTTTGTTATAAAGTCATATACATATATGGAAGGTTAAAAGTCATATGCAAAAACGCAGACTGGTGTGCACCTTGGAAAATTTCCAATGGTGGAAAGAACCTAGTCTTGTAGGTGCTGCAATTTCAAGAGGTAGGTGTCTGCCTCTAATTCCCGGACTGGGCAAGCATTAAGTCATTACTGATCAGATCAGTGACTTATGGAGGGTTAATTTAATGTTGGCACCCAAATGCTCACTTTTGAATGGGGAGTAGATTCTAATAATAGTTCTGAAGGCCTTGGCTTCAATCATTTCTATATGCAGTCTCCATGTAATCCTCTTATTGAAGATTACACCGATATTTTACATGACTGACAAAGGGGATATTCTGTCCATTCAATGTAAGATGAACCTCAGGAGGCATAGCCTATGAGAATAGTGGATAGCCAGAGACTTTTCATCACTGATTTTTATGTTCCAGTTTTCAAACCATGTCTCAGTTGCACTAAGACCTTGCTGCAGCTTCCTGAGAACATAACCCTCCTTGCAGTCTGTCGCATATATACAGGTGTCATCAGCAAAGAGACCTAGACAGACACCAGGTGTCTGGGGCATATCATTTATATTGTAACGTGTTTGGGCTATTGAAGACGCCGTTCGGATTGTTAATTGGTTTATTAACCACCTACAAGTCATAACTACAATTAATTATAACACTTCCGCAGGTTTGCACAAGTTACAAGCCCTACACACTAATCTCTTCACTTTATCTTCAGTAGTCTTCATTTATTTACTGTATAACATGGGAGTTCTATAAATGCCACTGAATTACACACTACCAATACACAATTCCCTCTCAGTTGCCACCACTATCACACATAAGATCTTATAATAATGTGTTCAGTTCTTCTTCTTCTTCCCGCGACTGACTGACTTCTGTTCTGCCAAATACTCCCAAATACTAACACTGTCTTCAGCAGCTGCTACATTTCAACTGACTCGACAACTGCTAGAATTCAACTGAAATCCTTAGGCATTCAAGGCTCTCTTACAAACCCTCAATCGGACAGTGGAAAATGCATCTCGCTTCACTGTTGCATAATCTCCGTGTTTAGAGAGGCGTTGCTGAGCAACGCTGTTGACAGTTGTTCATTGCTGCGTAGCAACCAGTGCGCTTCGGCTCGGCTCAGCACGGCATGGCACGCAGAAACACCACTTTCCTTACTGTTGCGTAACTTGGCAACCGACTGTTTATCAGAAGTCTGTCTTCCTGGTAACTTGTTCCACATCCCATTGTCCAACAACAGTTTGACATGTCACATTATACAGTGCTGCTGAGAGGTGGTTTATATATATATCTTGTGATATGAATCCATTCCATAAGTAACGACTTATTCATACACATATCCAAGACAACCAGCTGGAACAATCTGTTGTTGAGCAATGGCTTGATAAGCATTGTTCTCACAGCAACACAGACAGACGTTTCCTGCACAATGGAGAGCTCATTTTCGTGACAACAAATAGCTCAACTGTTCGACTCAGTGTCCCCTGTTCAGTATGCCAAGCAAATATAAAGTAGCAGCAACAAAGGCAGAGAAGCAGAACGAAGCAGAGCTATGCAAAGAGTGATTCGTTATCCAGAAGGAGTTAAATGTGTGAACTGTTATAAGTAAGTGTAACTGTAATACAGACGTCAAATAAATCCAGTCATCCAATCTAGAATCCACGATCATTAGTCACATTACCCCAGATACACTTGACAATATATATATTGTACAATATGAGGGACAAGTGGCACCCCTGCTTGTATATCCCTTGGACTAGACATTTCACCTGAGACTGAATTTTCTCTGAGAAATAAAATTGCTAATAAGCTTGATTAGACTGATCGAAAATTTTAATTTAGTTAATTTACCCTATATAGCAAGCCAAGGTGCCATGTTATATGAAAGGCTTTTTCAATATCCAAGAATACCACTGTCATAGATA